AATCTCAGTTTTGAGTTGGGTTCATGGTTATCTCAATGATAACCATTTTGTTGAGGACAGAGATTTGGAGTATCATTTTGGGAATTACTATTGCTGTTGTCCTTCACTTCCTGGTCTGAGAGACAATTTTTTGTTTTGTTTTGTCTTTTAAAAGAGAAGGTGGTATGGCAATTGACAGCAGTCACATGGGCTGGTTGTGATATATATATATATAAAATAGGCTTAGCACAGGCCCCGGGATGAAGGAAATAAATAGTCATAGCTGTCGTTTGTATGCAGATATTTTAGGCTCATGACATTAGGTTCTCAGATCAATGTTTCATTGCTGAATGGTCTTGGGAAAGAGCCACACTCCACACTTGCAGGCTGATAATGCCTTTGTTCTAAAGTTGAAATTGAGAGCAGGCAGTGCAGGCTGTGACCTCTTTTGCTTTTGGCCAATGAGTGTAATATCTCTTGAGACCCATGTGAATAAAATGTTATTTTGGACATTTGACAAACAACACTTTGGATAAGTATGATCAAACAAGCAACTCATGGGGTGAGTTTTCTTGTAGGGCACAAATGAGTAGAAAGTCAAAGAGAGTGGGACTATTTAAGAAAAACTCATATTTTTTGTTTTGTTAAACAGAGAATGTTGAAAATTTGAGTGGATGAGCCTTGAAAATCATTTTAAGAGTATAACAAGCTTCAAATATACATATTCATCCAATAAATATTTATTAACATGACTATATCTAGGCCAATATTTTCTGTTCTAGGAATCCAGACCTCAATTTCACTGTATATCTTGTGTACTCATTCCTAGCTTATTTTGAAAGTATAGCTAAAATCCGTCCCATTTGCAAACAAGTCAGCATATTAACAGGGAATAACTGTATTTTCTTTTGATTAAACTTTGAAATTTAATCAGCAAATATCAGGAGATTCCAGTTGACATTATTGTCAACATTATATAGTAGCTGATCCAAAAGGACATTTGCCAAATGTGTTCTAACACATTTGGAAGAAGAAGGCTGTAGGCTTTGCCAGAGTCACCTGCCTCAAGTCCTATTTCTTCAGGAAAAGACAGAATTTGGTTTGAATATCAATTCCTTTGCCCCCCCCCACCACCTCTCTGTATCAGCTTTTGAAATTCATGGTTTTTTTTTTTAAGTTGCAGTGTTGGATTTATATCTTTCAACTTTACTTTGCTTCATCTGATGCTCTGATTTTCATCTTATTCATCTTCTACAGTGATAGCCAGTCTTTACAGGTATTTTGCCACATTTCCTTTTCCATCTCTATATTCGACCCTTACTAGTACACAAACTAGAGACATTACAAGACAAAGAAAACCACAGACTGATATTTTTCATAAATATAGATGTAAAAATCCTCAGCAAAATATTAGCAAATTGCTTCCAATAATATATAAACAGGTTAATGTATCAGGACCAAGTGAGGCATTCATTCCAGGAATGCCAGGCTGGTTGAACATTCAAAATCAATGGGCATAGTCCAGCATAACAGTCTAAAGAAGAAAATGCATATGATCATCTCAATAGATGTACAGAGAGCATGTGACAAATTCAGCATTAATTCAAGACAAAAGGGAAGGGAAATTCCTCAACCTGATAAAGGGCATCTATGAAAAATCTATAGCTCACACTCTACTTAATAGTGAGAGACTAGAAGCTTTCTTTTAAAGATTGGGAATAAGGCAAGAATCTCCTCTCTCATCACTCTTAGTCAGTGAAATTGAGAGAAGCAAGAGAAAGAAAAGTCACACATATTGGGAAAGAAGAAACAAATCTGTCTCTATTTGCAGACAACATGATTGTCTATGTAAAAAGTCCAAAAAAATCTATAACAGTGCCCCTAGAACTAAAAAATGAGTTTATCAAAGTTGCAGAATACAAAAACAATATGAAAAAAGTCAATTATATTCCTGTATACCAGCAATGAGGAATTGTAGATCATAACAGCCAGGTTTCTTATTGTGAAAGAAAGAAGTTACAGATACGTAAGGGAGTATGCTAGAATAAACTCTGTAGTGCTGGATTGGAGTTAGACATCAGTATGAACTCATGTTTATTTTAATATTTATACAGATAAACAGATACACAAGTAAATATACGTGGGTTAGTATACATACACAGATATTCAAGCTCTGTCCACTAAGAGCTAGAAGCAGTGACATTCCTGAGCAATGAACATACCTCGCTCCAGAGTTTGGTTTCTAAAAACCATTCTGCAGTAAAAGGAACCAGATGTTATTGGAAAAATTGGCCAATTCTAGGGCTGGGGCAGTGAAAATATCAGATAAGCTTGGAACATCTTATGGTGCCAGAATGTAAAAAGTCGTTAAGAAAATAAAAAATGGAGCAAATGGGACATAGCCAAAGGACACAATATCCAACCTGAACGAGTTTCCAAAGGCCAAAGCTTGAAAATTTGAGAAGCAAAATAAATAATGATATTGGGTTATAAACCAAAGAATATAATAAATATCCATGAATGCATACTAATATAGATATGTGATTGAATAAATAAATACTTGGGGGAGAAGGGACAAGTCTTCCAAACAGAGGGATAAATAATGCTAATAAATGAAGGAGTGAGGGCTTGAAATCACTGTTAGAGCCCCACAATAATGACTGCTTTTCTGCATCAGCGTCTTCTAAAAAAACTTTTCATTCTGAAATCATTTCAGACTTACAAAAAAAAAAAAAAAAAAAAAACTTGTAAAAAGGGTACAGAGATTTCTCCAAATGTTAACAACTTACATACCCAGAGTATATTGATCTAAAACCAGGAAATTAACACTGATAGAACTTTACTAACCGATTTACAGAGTAACAGTTAACGACTAATCAACCTACAAATTTCTTCGTTGTTCCGCTGATGTTCTTTATTGGGTCTGGGATCCAACCTATGCTACCACATTGCACATAGTTATCACCTTTCCTTTTCTCCTCCAATCTGTGACTGTCCCTCAGTCTATCTTTGTCTTTTATGACTTTGGAAGAGTACTGCCTGCTTGTTTTGTAGAATGTTTCTGAATTTGTTTTCTTCTGAATTTGGGTTTGTCTGATGTTTTATGCTTTTCTGATCACATATAAGTTGCTCTTGTATCCATTGTTCTTGATTTAAATAAACAAAATATGTAACGCAATTACATCATTTCTTCTTGGTGAGTGTTACCTGGTCGATCTTTTCTCATGTTCAGTATACTGTGTCAGGAATTTATTTTTACTGTACACAGTAAGTCTTTTCTTAGGCTCTTAATGTGGGCTTTGTTTCTTTCTGGTTCCATCGTCAGTGGAGGTGAAGAACAATCTTAATTTCTAGCCTCCTCCTCAGGATTCAAGCTGACAGAAAGAGAAAACATCTCATTCCCTCTGGAGTGAGGAGGAGACCAACCACAGAGGCAGGGCCTGGCCTTGGCCCATGCAGAGGTGCCTGGGAGTTGTTGAAACAAGGGCAGGCCTTCACAACCAAAGATTCTGGCAACCCCTGCAAGACACCCCTTCTCCCCCTGTGACTGAGCACCTGGGTTCCGACCTCTGCAGGTCTCTGTCTGTCAAACCCTTGCCTTTGGCCCTGTCCTAGCTTCTCACTCACTTGAAACAAAGGGAGTGGAGACCATTGGCATCTCCAAATGTGCTCTGCCTTTTGAAGCTTTGAGAGGATCTTTGCACTGGCATAAATCAAAGGAGAGAGAGCTTATTCATTTAGCTCATCAAAAAAATCCCACTGTCATCATGTCACATCCAGGAGTTTATTCTTTTAATAGCTTTATTCTTTTCCCGTTAAGAAAGGAATTGTTCCAGGGCGCTCATTCCATACTGTATATTAGCCATTTCATTTTTCACAGACGGAAAAAAAAAATACCTTTCCACACATGATTAATTCTGCAGTTGAATACCAGAAGAGCTGACCATGTGCTGGCTTGGGGCCATCCATCAGCAATTTAACATCTGTAACCTAGCCACAGAGAGTCACTGTTAACATCATGAACAAATCATGGCTGGTCCGTGGTTGGAGCAGTTTATGGACCTTGTGTGAGGAGAGCATGCATTCTCCCCAGGGATTTAAAAGTGAGGATGATCTAAAGTAAGGAAAGCCACATATGAAAAGAGAAAGCACAGATTTTTGTCTTTAAAACATTCCTATTAGATTCTTGCCAGGGAGCGTTCAAAACCCTCTTCCTCCTTAAAGGAAAAGATCAGGAAGAGAATAGTGGGGCTCCTTTTATAGAGAAGAAGGGACAGGCACAATTAGAACAGGCTGTTCGAGTCAAGTAGAATCAGAGAGGTGGCAGAAATACTTTTGTACCTCTTTTCTCCCATGAGTCTGAGCTGTGAGTGCACAGAATTGTCACCGTGCTTCCCAGTGTAAAGACTTTCCATCAGATGCTCTGACAGCACGGTGTGTCTTGGAGCTGGGTGGACTGGGTTCAAGTGGCAGTTTTGTGACATAGTGGTTGTCTTTGGGTAACTCTCCTAACCTCCCTGACCTCCTGTTTTCTCTGGGACAATAATGTCCCCCCCACGCAGTTGTTGTGAGGTTTGGGGCATCAGTGCTATCAGATGTGCTGGCACCTGACACACAGTAGGTGCTCCTGGAACATATGTTTCTGCTCTTCCCTTCTTCTTTCCTCTCCAAAGAGAACAAGCTGTCTCAGCCAGGATTAACTGATCAAGACAACTTTTCTGGAAGTTTAGTTGAAGGGCAGATCCTTTAGGGGAACATGAATAGCTTTATAAATTGCCTTCAAAAGTAGCACCAAATCCTTCAGTCAGTTTTAAAGGAACTGTTTACCGCTGCATATGGCAGTCATTATTTGGAATAATAAACCCTCTGAGAATCTGAACATTCATGGGCCAACAGATGGGTCAACCTGCTTCCCAATTTAACAAAGTAATTTATTTCAATCACCGGGACAGGGCATGTGAAGATTACTAATTCAGTTCACAAGCAAAAGCAGCAAACACTCACTTCGTTGCCGAATTGCGCAGCCATTATGGAAATGCACACCTGTTCAGTTGGTTTTGGGACAGTCTTCATTTCGATTAGCGTTTCCTTTTCTTCGAAGGTATGTATTAAATTGCTGTGGATTCTTCTGCTGAAATGCATGCGCTAATTGGTGTCAGGATGAGATAAAGATCTCAGTGAAAATTTATACAGTAGTGTAGGTAAAATTAAGGTCATCAAAGTCGACTTTGAGACGTAAAACAGGTATATCAGAAGTAGAGTGTTATACTAATTGGGCAATGTGTTGTTCTTTCTTGTTGAAGCAATCTGCCCGGGGTTTATTGGGAACAACAACAACAAAATGCCAGAATTGTTTTACTCTTGTCTTCAACTCTGCTTAAATCTCCCACATCTTGACTTCATCTCTCTCCATGCCTGCTCAGAGGGAGAGAGGAATAGAAAAGGTGGTCAGGAGAGCTTCTCTAGAGAAGTTCCTATGTGCTCAAAAGTGGAACCCAAGGTGAGGAGAACTGGGGTAGTATTCCTCTTATTTTTCCCATCTTCTCTTCCTATACTCCAACATCGAGTGGGATAGAACTTCCTCTATAATGTCCGGAAGTTTCACATAAAAGATGGCACCTGGTTCGCATTTGAGAATTTCCATATGTTAGGTATGATTACTAATGCAACAAGATTGTTTTGTTGCCCTTTCTGGAAAGAAAATACTTTTCTTTCTTTTATAAAGTCTTTCTCCACTTTGATATCTGTAGTTATTTGACTTCAATACACATAGATTTCCTCTTGCTCACTATTCCTCCCAAGGTGTTTATTTTTCAATTGCCTTCTCTCTGCCAGAGGTTTGATTGGCTACTGGGGTTTCAGCTGAACAACACACCATTCTGTCCCTCAGGTAGGCAGGGAGATAGGTAGGGAAGCAGTAATCATAATTCATTGAAAATATTGCTACAATTGGAGGTAAATGCAGGTTATTAGGGATTCATAGCCAGAGCTCTTAGAAGACAGTTCTATATTTTAAAAAAGTTTCCATGTATATTAGAACAGTGAATAAATATCCCAAGAGGGTTGCAAAATTGTGGCGTATATCCAAAAGTTATATTTAGCAGGTTTTCAACACCCACATGAATTCGAGGACTGTGTATAAAGACTCATTGTCTTAGTCTGTTTGTGCTGCTACAATAAAATACCAGAGACTGGGTAATTTAAAAAGAACAGAAATTTATTTCTCATAGTTTTGGAGTTAGGAAAGTCCAAGGTCAAAGAGCCAGCAGGTTGGGTGTCTAGAGAAGGCCTGGTCTCTGCTTCCAAGATGGTGCCTTATTGCTTTGTCCTCAGGAGGGATGGATACTCTGTCCTCACATGGCAGAAGAGCAGAAGAGCAAAAAGGGCCTATGCTAGTACCTGGCCTATGCCAGCCCTTTTACAAGGCACTAATCTATTTATAAGAGTGGAGTCCTCATGACTTAATCACCTCCCCAAAGGCACCATCTGTTAATACCACCATAAGGGGGATTAAGTTTCAATCCATGAATTTCAGGAGACATTCAGATCATAGCACTTGTTTAGAGGCAATGTCAGAAGTTTCAATTTGAAAAATTTTATGAATACAAAGGCTGGACCAAATGGCCCTTCTTACCACCCACCCTCACCCTTACCTGATGGTTCTGCATTTGCAGCTCCCTCGTAGTTTCATTCTGGTGTCCCACCAACCCGACTCCCTGCCCTGCCCTGTCCAAAGCCCAAAATTCTTAAACCCAAATTTTCACCTTGCCCTTAATCACCAAATCAGTTCTTCCTCCCAAAGTTCCTCTTCCCATGAATGGTAGCACCATATTGTCCTTCACGTTGCACTCCTTCTTGTCATTGTTCCTTAAAATCTGACCAGTTTTCAAGAGCTGTGGGCTTTCCCTTTGCCCTCTGCCTTGAAATCCTCCTGTGCTGTCCCTCCTTGTGTCATTTTCCTCATTTAGGGCCCTACCATTCACGTGAGTGGTTATCATGCCTTCCAGGAGGTCTCTCCTCTTTCTGCCTCTCACGCACACCATCCGTCCTCTATTCACTTTGGCAGATTGATATTCTTGATGGTGAGACCTCCCCTGGCTCTCCACTGCCCACACAATTAAATTGAAACTTGCCAGCCTAAGAGTCAAAACCATTACTGGAAGAGCCACAAGTCCCCTTTCCATTCCCATCTCCTATCCCTCTCTTCACAAACTCGAGGCACAAGATGAACAAGAATACTGACCATTCCACAAAGGCACTTTTGCTTTTCCATATGCTGTTCCTCTACCTGCAAAGCCATCCCAGTGATTCTGCTTATTGAAACTCTGTCCTTCCTTTAAAGACCACTTAAATGCTTCAGGAAATCTTTCCTCCTCCCCGACCCACTGTGTGGCACTCCTTTTGGGAACACTAGAGACTCTTTGATTCTTTTCATGTCTTATGGAACTTAGCTTTTCCTGACTTGCATTCCATTGAGTCCCCACAAATATTTAGCAAGCACCAACTAGGAGCTACAGACTGTGGCATATGCTGAGGATAAACAAGATACAAAACATCCCTTTCCTCCCTTTCCTCATGGAATTTATCATCTAATGGAAAATGCTGGCAAGTGAATAGACAATTATCATACAGTGATGAAGTGGGTTAGTATCTATTGGTAGCACAGAGAAGGGCCACTCAGTTCACACACACGGGGGCAGAAGGAGGTGTAGAGTGGGACAGAAGAATCCTCAGACAACCCTCAGTTATTTAGATTTTCATTTAAGCTTTCTAGGTGGTCCTGTTCTGGAGGGAAACTAGCTCACGTCACTGCATCCTCTTGAGGTCTAAGAGTTCTGCCTACACATCAGCACCTAAACTGTGGGAAGATGTTTTCCCAAAGAGGACCTGAGTCTTAAATTCACGTGATGCTCCCTTGTGGAGAAATGAAAGTCTTAGGAAAAAAGTAAAATGGAATGCAATGCAGAAAGGATTTTTCACGCTAAATCTTGCACTCTTTTCTTGAAAATTAACCAATTATTAGTTCCGTTCCATAATTAGTTCTGTTTCACAACTTTCACCAAGAAGGATACAGGCTTAGGAGCTGAGATCAGGAAAGAGTGTCTAGAGTCAATGGCTTTCTTGCACCCATCACTCACCTCAGAAATAGGTCCCTGGTCCCTTTAGTAGCGTGCTTTATGTAGAGCCAATTGCCGGCTGGGATCTAAGGACTGGCCAGCTGTTTGACAAACCCTTTTCTTTTCCTTCCTGGGACAACTGGTCTGCAGCTGCTGCCTACCTTGCAGTTCACGTGGTCACATGATCGAGTTCTAGCCAACAGGTGAGTGTCCTCACAGACATGCTGTCTCGGTTTTGCAAAGCTCCAGGTGGAAGATGGCAGAGACAGAGATGGCGTCATCGGGGTCCCTGCACCTCTCCATGGAGGTGCCTGCCTGCCTGCGGCACACCCACGTTGAACTATTAGGTGAGCAAGAAAAAAATGTCCACTGTGCTAAGCCACTGTGGTTTGGAATTTATTTGTTAGAGCAGCTGGTGTAGCATTAACTAATACAATCCACTTTACATTGTGCTCAGAAAAGTGGGGACAAAGACGCAAAACATCCCTAATGGGGTTTCTGTGAAACCAGACTCTCCTTGCGGTGGGTTTGGTGGCTCCGTCTCTCTGAGCGTTCTCCGTGGGCCCTTGGAAACTGTTGCTTTTTTGGAGCACATTTGGGTTGGTTCAATACCACGTTTGAAGTTGCTCTGTGTTAAATTTAAAAAAATCAGTAGTTTGTGGATGCAAATTCTTCATAGCTTTAGCAACTGAAGAAAAATTTCCAGATGTTTCACAAAGCACTAAAATACTGTACATTGTTTTCTTTTTCAATGGGAAATTATTCACAGGGCAATAAAAAGTTGTTTTTTCAGTAAACAGATTATGTTTCAGTCTGTGGTGTGAACACTTAAATGGAACGATGCAATATGCCACTTTTTAAAAGAGGGTTTTAAACATGTCAGTACAAACCTTTCAATCCTCTGTCCCATAAATTCAACTTTTTAAAACGAAATCAACCTGAGCCCTGTGAAAGCTCATACTCCTATATCAAAACCAGTGAAATTTGCCTGTTTATTGCCACCTATGTAATGTGGCAAAGAAACATTCTTTTCACATGGGACAATTTCTTCAACTTTACACCAAGTGAAATTTAAATGCTTTTCGCTTCCTGAAATCATTAGGCATTAGTTCTACTGGAGGCGGAGCCACAGAAGAAACTGAGAAATAAGTCTGTGTTTAATACATTTCACCCTGGAATTTTATCCTCCTTCCCCCTCCTACTGGTTGTGTGGCAAGTTTCAGCCGGGGAAGCCACTTCAGCAAAACTCAAGAATTCACATCAGCACAGCTAAACTGACACTCAGATCAGCTCCTCCCGCCGCAACCAATACTGTCAGTCAAACAGTAGGAATGTCTGGTTCTTCTATGTTAATTTATTGGCATGTTTTTGTCTTCAAAAAAAGAAGTGGTTAAGTGCGGTTCCAGGTAAGGACACAGGAACCTGGGCAGAACCTTCTTTGGGCTATGTTCGTATCACAACACAGCAATAACAGAATTGCGCAAAATAAACACAGCACCATAATTTTATCCATGTCACAACGGGTTGTTTCACTTTTCAAAGGGATTCATAGATTCTTTTATGTTTAATCATAAATCATATATTAAATTCTTACAGAGTACTGGAATGACGATTATGGTAATTACTTAACAGGGAGGCTGAGAAGGTGTAAAATGGAAAGACCCTTGTTAAAGTCACTGCTAGGAAATGAAGACAATCTCTGCACAGATAATGTGAGACAACGGGAACATGGGAGAGAATGAGAACACAGTGCTTCACAATCACATCCGTTTTGTAAAGAAAGGCAAATCCATGTTGCATTGTATTAATAAATGTCCTTCTTCACTGATTGGGATCCTCAGCCCATGATAATGTACAAAATGCACATTTTAATCACAAGGCAGGACACTTAATCCTCGGATGAGGCCTGAAGACTCTCACATGCTATCACTTCACACTCTTTGGGGGACACTAAGGATGAAAGGGTGAATATAGAGTTAGCAACTGTACAGAGGAGGAACGTAGCATGACTTTTTCTTGGGATAGATACAAAACAAGAAACATATTTAAGAGAGAGCAGCAATTTTTCTAGAGGCAGGAACTTCCAGTGGTAAACACGTTGGTTTCGCAGTTTGATGGAAGTGGATTCTGAGCATTCTATAAATCTTAGTACTTTTTTTTCAAAACCATGGCAGCCATTCTTTCTTAATGGATAAGTATTAATACATACTCTGTGTGCACGTATGTGTGTGTAACCATAATAAAGAAAATGATTATCTCCTACTTTTAAAAAATGTTTTCAAATGGGAATAATTTTTGGTGCTGAAAACTCAACTTGATTAAAGACTCTATATTTCACTATGTTTGACTATGCAGACTTCCAGTTTACTTTGAAGGCATATTTTTCAAGATAGGACTATAGGACATATTTTATTTGACTGTTTATCAGCTCGATCCGTAGCGTATAAACATTTAGACCAGTGGTGTTGGGCCTCCCTCTTACTCTTGAGCCAGGTCTCCCAAGTGTTGGGGAGGGCCGGCCCTCCTGTATCAGCAACCAAGCCGAATCCCTCAGCCTCTCCACCTCCTCTACCTTACATCCAGCACACCGTAAAGACTTTTCTCCTCTGAACACTCCTCGATATTCACTTCACTGCATTTTGCTGGAATGTCAAGTTTAGTTTGGGGGGGGGGTTCACCTTGTTAAAAACTCCCTTGCACAGTGAAAGAATGTTTTTTTGAGGGCCCATAGTTCTCTTCTAGGCTATAGGAAGGTTACACTAGCCAAACAGACCTAGTCTTTGCATTTATGAGGCTAAGTAGGGAGATGGACATTAAACAGTGGACTGCCTCTATAGCTTGTTGGTTATTTACCGTTGTGGTCCATGTGACAGGGGTGGCCTGTGGAGTCTGAGTGTGTACGAGGTGGAGCTGGGCAAAGTGTCCTCCAGGAGGTGACTCTTATGCCAAGACATGAAGGAGGAGTAGAATTTGGCCAGGAAAAACAGACACGAAAAGCTCCTTGGGCAGAGCCTTTGTTCAGGGTGGCTGGAGAAGTGTCGTGTGGGGCAGAGGAGGTGGGAGCAGGTGACAGGGTGGGTGGGGAGGGGTTGCCCCCCCAGGAGGTGGAGCAGGATAACAGGAAATTGGTATCCCCATTACTAAGCAAGAAGTTTGGAGTGGGCTTTTCCTAAATAAATGTTGCTTGCAAAGATTTTAGCTTGTCCATCCTTGCTGGGGTGGGGAATGGGGTACAGGGGATGGTCCCCAAACAGATTTTCACCTGGGCCTGATGTGTTGTTGATGAGGTTGCAAACAGAGCCCTGTGGACTATGATGGGAATTTATATAATGTCCCGAGAGCAGTGAGAAGCTACTAGAGGGTTTTAACTAGAGAAGTGGCTTGTATTTATCAAGTGCCACCAGCTCCTAATGTTGAGGACATGAATGAGGTTTGGCAAAAAGCATTATAATGTCTGAGTGTGTTTGTAACAACTCATGACAATGAATTTTTAGAGACTTTTTAAAGGAGAAAGGGCCTGGCTAAATATGAAGGCATTTGATCTGCCTCATTCTTGTTTAATCTAACAACATACAACAATGCTAAAAGAGAGTGTGACTTGTGGTTGTTTTGAACTAATTAATTTTTCTTGTAATCTCACTCCTAAAAAAAATTGTGTTTTCAAAAGAAACTCACGTTGAGAAGAGCAGAAGCCAATGTTGATATATCAGTCTTTGATATGGAGCTATAATAGACAGACATGAATTTTACCAGATTAAAAACAAATGTGTAATGGAAGTTGAAATATAAAGAATTCCTCCATTTATCTTCTTGACTAAAGGAGGAAAAAAGCATCATACACATTATAGATCATTTGAGTTTTAGGCTGATGATTTGAAACATTTTTTATAATAATTCAGTGGCTCCTTTTGAATATCCAGATGTTAATAATGGTTCCCTGCTCTGTGATTAGGAATGAATCTGCCAAGGAAAAATGAAGCCTTTTCTCTTGGGGGAAGTTGAGTTACTTCTGTTATTTTCCCAGGCTTCCTGGGGAAGTCTACCAACATATGAATAAATGATGGGAACTGGAGTCTGACTGGTCACCACGGAATTATCGGCCTTGTTTGCTGAGTTTGACCTTTATTATTTACACACTCAGCTTGAAATACGACAAATGTAGTAACTTTTCAGCTGTTTTTTTCCTTGAAATCCGACAGTTCTTAAAGTTTCTGAGACTGAAAAGGCTGTGCTGTTTTTATAAAAGTTCCTCTTCTCCTTGGTTATGAAGGCCATGACGTTTGCCCAAATTTAGAAATAATATGAATAACAACTGGGGATTCCCTCTTTTCTATTAAATTTTTCTTGGGAGAAAAAAAATCATTCTCTTAAAAAAAAGAGAGAGATATTTAAAACCCATAAACATCTCTTAGAGATGCCCAGTAACAAGCTTGAATAATTTTTGCCTTATTGTTCCATGCCTGATAGATCACCTGTTTTAGTTTTCTCTTTAGGATCAAAGGTACCATGCTGGGGTTGTCATAGGTCTGGAATCCCTTTCAGAATAATTATGCTTAAGCATTAAAACACCCAACTCATATTTTAAAAAAAATCGTTATAGTGTTCATTTATACTAGGGAGCTGAAGCATTTCTGGTATAATATCTACAAATAAAGATACATCTGCAACGACCTCTTCCTGCAAATGATTATTCAATCAATGAACACTTATTTGACAGGGTCTTTGGTAATTTGTTGTTCAATGAGATTATCTTTTGGCCAAATAAAGACATATCATCTGAGAAATGAGAAGATCATTACTCCTTTAGTGGCATTTATCGGACATTTAATATGTATAGTATTTTGCAGAGGAGCAGACGGTACTAACATGGATGACAAGGGGAGAGATGGCATCGTGAGACGTTTGCTGCATACGATGAGCCCCGTGCTGAATTAAGCACATTACACACCTTGGCTTATTTCTTCCTCAACCACTCTTTTAAGATAGGGACGCTTATTATCCCCACTCAGAGATGAGGCAGCTAAGGCTTACTAAAGATACCAAACAGATAATGACAAAGCCATGACGCGACTTCAGGAAATCCAAGCGAGGTTCATGGACTGCTGTCTGGGACCCCCGAGATCAAAGTATTTTCATAATAACACCAACATGTGACTTGCCTTCCTCACTGTGCAGACATTTGCACCCATGGTGCAGAAGCAATGGCAGATAAACCGCTGGCTCCTCAGCATTCATCAAGGCACCGGAATCAAATTGTAACATCGGTCCTTTTATTCTTCACTGCCATATATTTGTAGAGAGAAAAATAAAAGCCAGTTTCACTTAACAACTTCCTTGAAAGAGCAAAAAATTATTAATTTTATTAAACTTTGACCATTGACCCTTTTAAATATTTTTAAACTATTCTGTGTGACAAAGTAGAACATGGGCAAAAAGCTTTTTTGCACACTGAAATATGACAGTTATGGGGAAGAGCATTTGTGTGATGGTTTGAGTTGTGATCTGTATAGTCATTTTTTCACAGAACTCCATTTTTACTTGAAAGAATAATAGACAAATTGGATATTTAGATTGGACAGATTTAGTTGATCTTTTTATCAGAATAAACAGAGTGTGCTTATTGGGTCAGGGAAATCACTGATAATATTTATGGCTAATAATAAAATTTGAGCTTTCAAGAGAAAATTAGAATTTTGGAAAACTTATGTTCACCACCATAAGCTTGATAGTTTGAGAATACTTGAAGACTTTTCTGATGAAATCAGAGGTGATTTTAACATATGCAATTTTGTGATATTATAAAACAAAATGTGTCAACATTTGGAAGATTGTATAACATAGTGAGCCAATATTTCTCCAATGGCAAACTCTTGATGTAACAAAATCATGCATGGGTAAAAGAGTCATTCAGTGTACAAGGTAGAAGATGGATTTTAATGTAACAGAGTATATTAATGGTTAATTTGTATAGTTTCAGATTCCACATTATAACTAACCTTTAAGAACCTACCACTTGTTGAGTTTTGGTATAGCATCAAAAAAGAATGTCTACAATTATCTGAAAGAGCTATCAAAGTGCTCTTCCCTTTTCTAAGTACATAACCATGGTTAGAAAAAAAATACCTATGATGCAGGATATTCTTCATATACTTCAGTCAAAACAATATATTGCAACAGATTGGACGTAGGATCAGATATTAAACCCAGCTGTAATCTATTAAACTAGACATTTATGAGATCTGCAAGATTATAAAACTATGCCATTCTTTTCACTAAATTTTAAAATTAAAGAAAATTTTAATTGTGGTAAATTCACATAACATAAAATTTACCCTCTTAATCACTGAGCTTTTAAGAGAAAATTAGAATTTTGGAAGTGTACAGTTCAATAGTGTTAAGTACATTAATGTTGTTTTGCACCCAGTCTCCAGAACTCTTTTCGTCTGGCAAAACTAAAACTCTATACCTTAATAACTCCCCATTCCCCTTTCCCTGCTAACCCCTGGCAACCACCATTCTACTATCTACCTCTATGAATGTGATTACTCTAGGCACCTCATTTTAGTGGAATTATATAGCATTTGTCCTTTTGTGATTATCTTATTTCACTTAGTAGACTTTTTCGATTGCTTTGGAAAATATAGCCATTTTTATCAAAATGTTATTTATGTTAACATGCAATGTGTTTATTATTGTTTTTTTTTTCTTTGAGACAGAGTCTCACTCTATTGCCCAGGCTAGAGTGAGTGCCGTGGCGTCAGCCTAGCTCACAGCAACCTCAAACTCCTGGGCTCAAGCAATCCTTCTGCCTCAGCCTCCCGAGTAGCTGGGACTACAGGCATGCGCCACCATGCCCGGCTAATTTTTTCTATATATATTAGTTGGCCAATTAATTTCTTTCTATTTATAGTAGAGACAGGGGTCTCGCTCTTGCTCAGGCTGGTTTCGAACTCCTGACCTCGAGCAATCCACCCACCTCGGCCTCCCAGAGTGCTAGGATTACAGGCGTGAGCCACCACGCCCGGCCTATTATTGTTATTTTCATAAACAATAAATACTTTAAAATTCTCAGTTTTAAATTCTAATACTATAAATGTCCACAGATATAATCCACTATCTCTATTGTACCACTAGTTACATTATTGTAATTATTAATTTTAATGTTTGTCTTTCCACTGTCTCGGGAAGGACTGTGTAATATTCATTTTTTTATCTACAGGGCAGATGTCAACCAAACAGTTGATAAGTGGATGAATGCAGAAACCCAAATTGCAGCTAACAAACTTTGAAAGTTACAGATCAACTTGTACGAGTGCACAACGCATAATTTTAAAGGGTTCTGGAATGAGTATTTTAAGTAGCCATTACCCACTTTAATGTGTATGGGGAAGACTGTAACTTACACATTGAACTTCTCATTTCACCAATTTCATTGTTTAGAATGGACATAAAGTAAGAATATTAGGTAAATAATGTTATAGTTAGTACATATGAAAATAAATAAATTTCATAAAATTGTGAAGGAGGGACTCTGGAAAGCTGTGTCATGGTTTCAAACTACCGTGTTTCCCCGAAAATAAGACCTACCCATAAAATAAGCCCTAGCAGGATTTCTAAGCATTTGCACAATATAAGCCCTACCCAGAAAATAAGACCTAGTGATGGGCGTGGCTACGCAGCGTGTCTGCACAACCCATGCATTTCGTCCCGGAGCGGTAAAGAAGACGAGCAGCCCTTCTCATCTGCCCCGTGAGAGCTCTATTGCATGAGAGACTGGGGCAAATGGTTCTAAAGGAAATAGAGTCGCAAGAAATTCAGGATGAAATTCTGGGTTTGGAGAGTTATGATGATGTTCCAGAAGAAGATGACTTAATTATATTTGAATAAATGTAGATTGTTGTACCAAACTTAAAAAATAACACATCCCCTGAAAATAAGCCCTAGGGTGTCTTCTTGAGGAAAAAGAAATATAAGACCCTATTTTATTTTCGGGAAAACAGAGTACATTTCCTCTGACAAATGAGTTTCCTGCTATCTTCCTTTTGGACATCTGATGATAAGGAGAAGCCCATTAGTCAAGATTCCTTGAAATTTCCATAATGTGTGCAAACATGAATTAATGTGGAATACAAAAATTATTCAATACAGAACTTGAAAGCCAGTGCTAATGCATCCTAATAATAATAATTATTATTATTTTGAGACAGGGTCTTTCTTTGTTGTCCAGTGGTGCAGTGGCCCAGTCATAGCTCACTGCAGCCTCCAACTCTTGGGCTCAAGTGATCCTCCTGCCTCAGCCTCCCAAGTAGCTGAGACTATAGGTATACACCACTGCACCTTGCCATAATTAATTTTAAAACCTCATCTTTTCTAGATGATGACTTTATTTCTCACTTGTTTAAAACCTGCTTTAAAGTCTTTCTTCTGATGAATGTTGTTAGTTGCTCTAGAAACACGAAATCCTTGAGGAAATTTTTTTTGAATTTTATTAAAAACAGTCTGTGTTAAAAGTAAAAAATTATGGAATGACATATTAAGCTATTACTCTCTCTGTATTTTATTAGCAATAAGTGCAAATAATAAATATAGATGCTGCTAAATAAAGGAATCCTCAGTACTATAAACACTGTTTTCTGATTTACTCTGATTTGGGTATTTATTGATCTGGGGCTGTCGCTGGCCCGAAATGACTAGTTTTAAGGGTCTAAATTAGGTAGGATCTCACGAAATCTTAAATTCCACAGGGAATACTATCTGAGAATGTGCCTTTTGATGGTCTCAGTGGAGTAAAACTTTTGATCTTCTGCGTACTTGGATTTGATTTACCTCCAAAGCCATATTGACCATGTTGGTGCAAATGGCTAAAGCTGGGATTTTAACAACAGGGCAGGCTTACATTCTTGTTGCATTCGGACTAGATGCACAGTCTTGTCTCCTACTCCCAACCTGGAGAGTTTGGGGAAGAATCCTTATGGATAATGTATTCCTTCTGGGAACCTGATGCAGTGCTGGGAAATTTTTGGAAGCGACTTGGCCTGATCATTTGTCCAACCCTATTTAATTTTTAAAGTCACAGATTGTCTGAACTTAAAGATAAAATTATCAACATGATTTTCTCACAGTTGAAGAAACAGAATTAGAGAGACTAAGTCACTTGCCCCAGTCAACAGTGAATTGGTGGATGGAGCAAGGGCTTTTTGTTGGTCTCCCACTGGTAGTTTAGTTCTCTTTCAGCTACTTACTGATGGAGAACATCTGCCAGACTTCTTTGAATGTAATCTTGGAGTATGCAGTCAAGTGGTGTCAACCCCAGCCCAACTCTTTCTCTGTGTCCATCTGTCTCTCTCTCTCTCTCTCTCTCTCTCTCTCTCTCTCTCTCTCACACACACACACACACACTGTTCCAGTCTCAGTTTCAACAGCTATGTGACTTTGCTTGGGTCACTTAAGGGAACTAAGGCTCAAGAGGGTGCTTGGCTCCGTGAAGATGGTAATCCTTGTGCTGGTTGTAGTATGGATTCCATGAGACAATGAAAAACACTATGCTAGTGTGAGATAGTGGTAGAAACAGAAGATTTTAAAGCAAAACTCTGAAATACTTGTTCACACAGTTTTGTGTACAGGTACAAGAAATCTCATGAGGTCATGAATCCTGCTGTCTGATTTATTTGCATAATTCATAACTCTGTAATCTGATACTGTCCTACCCAAACAGGCCTCTCCCTTTCTTTCTTCATCCCTCCCAGCCTTTTAAGTCAAATTCTCAATTTCAGACCTTGCTGGAAGTCCCCTTGGACCTTTGGTTTGTTATTTTAAAGCTAGGAGAGAAAGAGTGTAAGGTATAGACATGTTTAAGAAAAATATACTTATTGCTTTGGGCCTTTTCTTTCATTCTGTGTTATTTGGCAAGCTTGTTATACTTACTCGAGCTGTGGGCTGGGGGTTAGGAGACTGACTGGGTTTTGATCCCTGCTCTGCTCTGTGTCACCTTGGATCTGGTGCTCAACTGCTATACAAGGTAAGAAGGCTGGCTCAGGGGGCCACTAGAGGCTCTGCCTAGGCAGCTTGGGCTGCCATGACAAAATGCCACGGGTAGCCTGGGTGGCTTAAACAATAGATATCTATTTTCTCACAGTTCTGGAGGCTGGAATGTCTGAGATCAGAGAGCCAATGTGGTTGGGTTCTGGATTCCCTTCTAGGTAGTAGATGGCCATCTTCTCACTGTGTACTCACAAGACAGAGAGAGAGGGAGAGGGAGAGAGGGATATCAAGCTCTCTAGTGTCTCTTCTTAAAAGGACACTAAACCCGTCATGAGGGCCCACCCTCATGAACTCACCTAAACCTGCTCATCTCCCCAAAGTCTCATATCCAAATATGGTCACATTGGGGGTTGGGACTTAAGCATATGGATCTGGGGAGGGGGGGGACACAATTTAGTCCATGGTAGGTCCTTCCAGTCTAAATGCCAAGAGCTTATATGACACGTGAGGTGCAATACTAAGTACTGTGAGATCCCAGAATATCTGTGACATAGAAAATCCACAATATAGCTCACACCTCAGGAGCACAGCCCGTTTGGAAAGCAACTGTAGCATAAAGCAATGTGAGAAGAATCATGTGAAGGGAACAGAAACAACAGGGCCTGCAGAGGCTCAGAAAGGAGGTCAGGGATGTCTTCCTGGATGAGGCGGTGGTGCATGGGATTGTGAGCGATGGCAAGATTGTCCATCAATGATCATGTGTGTGGGGGGCGGGTGCCAGACAACAAGAACAACGAGGGAAAAGTGCTTTCTTGGAGAACAGATGAGTCAACTTGCTCACCTTAAGTTTAGCTGGAGGTAGTCCTGGAAATACTGGTTCAGTCCACACAGATCTAAAAGCAAATCTAAGAATTTTAAGTGTGTGATAACTAGAGAACCTCTTTGCCAAATTAATAAACAAAGTGGGCTTTGGGGGAAATCAACCCAACTGCAGAAGAGGAGAATTGCCTAGGGCAAAGAAGAGATGAGCAGAGAGGCCAGTTTGGAGGCTGGTAATGTGGTCTTGGGTAGTTTCTAGATTTCTCTTAAACATCTCGAATGTGTGTATATATATAGTCAAACTTTGTGTATATATGTATATACACACATGGCATATATATACACATAATATATGTATACTATATATATGGCATATATATACATTATATATTGTGTATATATATATATATATGTATATATAAACCTTGGATTTATTCACCACCGGAAACCCACCAGCCCCCTTCCGGTTTTGGCTTCTGCTTGAGTGATCAGATTTATTTCCTCTTGTCAAGAGTTATATTCTCTTTGCACAGTAGACAGAGGCTCAGGGTATATCTTCAGAGTTGTCTGTAGCTAAGACATGCTGTTGTTTCTAGAAGGAGCTGACAGAAGGCAAGGGCTGGCATTTCACTGGTCCTTGCAAACCTCCTCTCTGGAAGGGCAGGATTGAGCTTGGAGCAGGAGAGCCTGAGGCGGGGTGTGCTCTACATTTTGGGAACTGCCTTTCTCAAGGACGGAAGACTGTTAGTCCAGTTTTCAGTACCCTTGATGCCTGCAAGTTCAAGCAGAAGTGTTTTTTGCTTTTGTAGCCCACAATTCCTCAGGTCCCTCCTGCCTGGTGATGTGCAGTGTCAGACCTGGCTGCCTTGTCACATCTAGACTAGGAGACAGCAGTGCCTCTGCCCTCCCATCCAACTCTCCCGATTTTATGTATGGGCATGTGTCACATGGCTCAGACACGGTTCTTGTAGGTTCTTTTCTCAGGGTACCTTGTTTGTGTCTGCAAAGCCACTTGAGAATGCTGATTCCTAGGGACTTTCATCCTCTCCTCCCTCAGACTGCCTTGAACATTGATTGTCGGAGCGTCCAGTGGTACCGGATGGTCCCAGGCCCCCTTCCACTCACTGCTGGAGCCACTCTGTGTCTCTCCTTGGGCTGTTGGTGCATCTGCTCAGTTCCTTGAAGCACAAATCTTCCTCCTTCCAGACTTCACTCCTCGGGCCAACAAACACCCACGCCCATGGGCTCAGACACTTTCCAGACATGGCCAGACCCTGCACCCCAGTTTAAGCCGAGCCTGAGGACTCCCCACCCCACACCGGCCCTTACAAGGTTTGTTGCTGCTTTGCCTTCCTCCTTGTCCAGGTGGCTGGACAGGGAAGCAGCTGCTAGGGACTGGTGGCACACTGACGTGGTGTCAGGGGATCTCCATCAGGGTGAAAGTGTGGCAGAAAGCTGCGGGTAGATCGGAAGTAGCATCTAGGAAG